TCGCTGTGGTATTTGCGAGTTGCAAACTGTACTTAGTTGCTCAAGAGGTCGACTTAAAAATAAGTTGGCCCTTCCCTATTGACACTTTGCGCAACTGTCAAAGAACGTCTTAACGTAAGCGTGACGCATGTCACGCTGATTTGGTTACAGAAATCTCGACAATTCACAGGCGCGAAAATGCATAACATCGTCGACTCCAATTAGGCTGTCCTAATTTAATAGAAGCACGGACGACTGAAAATCCCCTCGAATTGCGAATAAGTAGCACTATAGCTTCTTGAAAATCTGCACTGTAGCTCACTACTGTAGCACCTCACTGAAGCTCCTTGAAAATCTGCGGTAAAATTTCAGCATGTAAAAGAAAATGCTAATTTTTTAATAACGCGCGGAACGCGACAATGACTTTTTCGCCCGATGTTGACGTCAAAAACGTTGATCCCGAAGAAAAAAGTAATCCGGAGAAGCCATTTCCCAAACTGAGCAACTAAGCACATTTTGTGGCTCACAAATACAGCAACGAAATGAGGTATTAAACACAAAGACGCACTATAAACGGGATTACAAAAACAACGATAATTTGACGCAACTTTAAATTGTGATAGTAAATTTCCAAATAATTTAAAAATTTTGCAATATTTCAAGACAATTAATTCTGTAAAACATGAATTAAAGATTAAATAGTATCCAACTTTGGAGACGGCTACATCCTCAAGGAAATTAAATGCATGTTTTAAACTTTCTTTGTAATTGTAAATTTTCAAATAATTTTTAGAAGTGTCAAGTAGTTCAAGAAAATCTTTTAACATGAATTACAATTTAAACTGTATCCATGTTTAGAGACGACTAAATCCTCAAGAAAATTAAGCACCTTTTCCATTTTTTTCTCTGTAGGTGTTAATTTATAATAAAGAATTTTGCAATATTTCAAGAGAATCTGTAAATATGACGTCGAGATTATATTGTATCGAAATGTAGAGACAGCTATATCTTCAAGTTGTGCGTCTTTGTGGTTCTGAGAGCTTCATAACATACATTGCATTTCAGCAGCGATTTCCTTGTACCCTCANACGTCTTAACGTAAGCGTGACGCATGTCACGCTGATTTGGTTACAGAAATCTCGACAATTCACAGGCGCGAAAATGCATAACATCGTCGACTCCAATTAGGCTGTCCTAATTTAATAGAAGCACGGACGACTGAAAATCCCCTCGAATTGCGAATAAGTAGCACTATAGCTTCTTGAAAATCTGCACTGTAGCTCACTACTGTAGCACCTCACTGAAGCTCCTTGAAAATCTGCGGTAAAATTTCAGCATGTAAAAGAAAATGCTAATTTTTTAATAACGCGCGGAACGCGACAATGACTTTTTCGCCCGATGTTGACGTCAAAAACGTTGATCCCGAAGAAAAAAGTAATCCGGAGAAGCCATTTCCCAAACTGAGCAACTAAGCACATTTTGTGGCTCACAAATACAGCAACGAAATGAGGTATTAAACACAAAGACGCACTATAAACGGGATTACAAAAACAACGATAATTTGACGCAACTTTAAATTGTGATAGTAAATTTCCAAATAATTTAAAAATTTTGCAATATTTCAAGACAATTAATTCTGTAAAACATGAATTAAAGATTAAATAGTATCCAACTTTGGAGACGGCTACATCCTCAAGGAAATTAAATGCATGTTTTAAACTTTCTTTGTAATTGTAAATTTTCAAATAATTTTTAGAAGTGTCAAGTAGTTCAAGAAAATCTTTTAACATGAATTACAATTTAAACTGTATCCATGTTTAGAGACGACTAAATCCTCAAGAAAATTAAGCACCTTTTCCATTTTTTTCTCTGTAGGTGTTAATTTATAATAAAGAATTTTGCAATATTTCAAGAGAATCTGTAAATATGACGTCGAGATTATATTGTATCGAAATGTAGAGACAGCTATATCTTCAAGTTGTGCGTCTTTGTGGTTCTGAGAGCTTCATAACATACATTGCATTTCAGCAGCGATTTCCTTGTACCCTCATATCACTAACTTTACAATGGCCCATGATGGTTAAAACATAACCCAAATGGGGTGTAATTATTTTCATGGATTTTCCGCGACTTCCGGATCATAAAACAACCAAGACTTCATAGCCTAATTTCAAAGGGATTAATAAATGGAACACGTAATTGACATTTATTTTGTACTTATCACTTCAGCGAAAGTTCAAACAAAGTTATGAGAGTTTAGTTTTCAGAAGAAATAAAATATCTGAATCACACAGTGAAATCCCAATTTTGATTTCTAAATTCATGAAATCAAAATGAAATGAAATGAAAATTAAATCTTTTTGAAAGTTCGCAAGTCGTTTTTGAACTCCATAAAAAACCAACGATAAAACCACTGAATAACAAAGTGGAATCGCCATTTTCATTTTCTACTGATCAATACTTCGTTTTGATAAAGCCTTATTGTGAAAGGAATTGGAATTCAGTAGAAATCGAAACTAAATCTCTTAAAGCAAGTGGACACACAATTGACATTTTGTAACTTGAAAACACTCGTACCCCTGCCCTAGGACTTTTGAATACCAAAGTGCAGTTACTTGTTTTTACTTCATCAACAATTCATTTTAACACTTGCATATTGCACTTAACTGGTGATTAACAGATTGAAAAAAGCAAAATATTTCACAGTTTTTTATTGCCAGTCGTCACCAAGTATTTTGCAGATTTGTGTAACTTGCAAAATATATATTTTTCAAACTCATGCTGAAGGGATAAGTATTAATAAATAAACTTAATGGTGAAGTCATATTTGTACCAATGGGCCACTGCACAGTAACTACAAATGCCACAGACATGCATAGCCAAACAGAGGTCAACTGAAAACTAAAAGACATCACAAAAAATAACATGCATTCTAAATAAATTTGTTCAAAGTGGATGACACCTCAGAGCAGAATATGAATAATAATGTGAATAAACATAAACAAAGAATTCTTCAAAAAAACTTTCAGACAAGCCATAGAATTTGTAAAACAGCTTTTCAGAGAGTAAAAATATTAGCTGCTCAATAATTTTATTCTAGTTGTCTACTGTAACAACCACTGCTAAAATCAATCAGTCCTTAAAACGTTTTGATAAGGAGTCTTCAGTTTAGCAGTTACTCAGCAGTTTCTTTCTTCGCAATTAATTTATGTGCCCACAACAGCAGAGTTTGTGTTCAGAATGTCATTGAAAATTCATTGGACTACAAAATGAAGTCTCTTGTTCTTTGTTGTTTTGAAATGGTTAGAGGAGACGGTCACTCCAAAAAACGTAAATTTAACAAATTGACGTCAGTTTTTCATGGGTCTGTCCAGTTATTGATCATGTATTTCGTCATAACATTGTCAAAGTAGCTGTGGATCCATGAGGCGATAGCCGAGTGTATCTGCAAACTACTTTAACAATGTTATGACGAAATTCATTGTCAATAACAGGACAGACACATTAAAAACTGACATCAATTTGTTTTTTACGATAACAAATTGTCAAATTGTCCGCTCTCGCTCGTTGATGCATCGCATAAATTATAAATTCATGTGTCTGTCCGCTTATTGACAATAAAAAATTAGCCAATGAGCGCGTGAGAATTTCTGCAGTCATGATAAAAAAGTATATTTTTTGTCAACCCTAATAAAAACCTTGCACTAAGCTTAGCAAATCACCGAAGTTTCAGCCTTTAAAGTGCAGGTTTTCCTTATGAAATTCCTCTCCAAGGATGCAAAAATTTGACATCGTTTCCGTCATTTTGAATAGTACTCAGCAGCCAGGCTGCATTTCCGTTGCATTATTCTGTCCCAGAGATTTTGTCCAAATGCCTTCCGACAAGCCTTTTAACCACCACTCTGGGTTATGGCTGCTCTTGAGCCATATTATTTTGAGCCAAACTTGCTCCAGACTAGGAAATGATAGCATTGAAGATAGTGAAGTGGATAATTGCTTGGAAAAAATACATTTTGATGCAAGTCAGTAGCAGGTTTTTCTCCTTCCCGCCAATTTCAAGTCGAATGGAATGACGTCACATAAAGACGACCTGGCTGTCAAATGCAGTTTTAAAATGGCGGCCTCTGAAGTCACTTCTTTCAAGACAAATTTCTTCAGGATAGCAGGCACTTCAGAGGCTGAAGCTTCGGTGAAAGGAAAAACCTGAATGATTACTTGCTAAAGGAGAAGACAAAAAAGTAAGCTTTTTGGAGTGACCTTTTTTAAGTTGAAATAAAATCCCTTGACTTCTGATACTGAGTTTCATTTTTCTCTAGCTAGAAAGGAAATTTTTGGAAAAAAATGTTCTTTACAATTGGACTGCAGAAATATTTTAAAATATACATGCACATGTAGGACAAGAATAAATGAAATGATAAGTCATCTACATTCAGAAATGTTCACTCTCCTGAAAAATTACTGTATTTCCTCAGTTGGCCCCTTCTCGCTGTAAAGAGTCCAGCCTGCCCATTTATTTTCACTTGTTGTACCCCTATCAGGGATAAAAGCAGAATTATACCTTCCAGCCCCACCTCCCCTCCCCCCCTCCAACACCATCTCTGTGTCAAAGATTTATTATTGACCGATCCATGGAATTCCTTCTTGACAACCTGCCTTAAAGTTTATCTGCAACCCTTCAACTATGAGAAATTGAAGTTTTGTAGTTTTAAGGCAAGAAAGCATACAATGCACATACCCCCAGGTGTACTTTGTTACATGTACCTATGACCTGGCAAAATTGCCATGTTGTAGTATGCTTCTCCCTTCCCCCTTATTTTTGACTTCAACGACCTAAATGGCAGGGTGTTGTCTAGAATGTGAAACCAATCAGGGGTACATGTACAATCTATTCCACTGATCCTCAGGCCCATCTGTATAAGGACACCAACCCAGCCCCTGCCCCAGTACAATTTTTCAACGATGAAAGATTGCGGTTTGCTTCAAGTTTTTGGAAGGGGAGAGAGAAGGGGGAGGGGGTGTTTATTTAAGGAGGGCCATGCATCAAAAACGATTCGTAGCCCCAGTAGTTGTCAATTTCGTCGTCGCATATATCATTTCGCTATGACCATATTCATTTACAGTACAGTAAATCCCATTATTGTCACGTCAACTGAAAAATTAGAGATATTCATCAAAATAGAAATGCTTCACTACCTTAATTTGAAACATTCCGGTACAATTTGCCAAAAATGGAATTTTTGGAAAGGCGCTCCTGGGCACACAATTGACTCCTACAACCGAAAACGAAACGGGCTGTCGCGAATGCCTCTCTAACAGGCGCCCAGGTCATGAGCTAATACTCTCTGGGCATTCATTCCAGTGAAAAAAATGACATTACGATGAAATTACCTGCGCCTTCGTAGAGTTCCCATTCAGAAGGTGCACTCTGGGACCACAAACCGCTATCAGTTGTTTCCGTTGTCATGCTGCCAGTTTCTGGAAGATTTGCCACATATTCTTCCACAAAAGCAATTCTATCAGGTAAATTGCTGTCGGAATTTTGTGAATCGTCTTCTCTAACTTCTGGATGCGCCTCCTTTACTCCAGCATTTGCAGCATCAAAACTTGACTGATCTTCAAATCCTTTCGTTTCTTCCTTCACTTCCATTTCTAAGGACAGAAGAAGGTAAAGTGAAATATTTAGCATACTTCTGTATTACTTCCATTCGTGGATTATTTTGAAAATGTGGATTATTTTGAAAAAAGTCATCTGAATGGCGTGGACCTCTTAGTTAGACTGCAACGAAGCAATTATATAAAGGCATCAGAGTTTCAAGGCTCGTTATCATGCACATGCAATTTTTTTGCACAAGACACGCTAATTATTTTAATTTACTCAGTTCAAGCGTCTAAAGTTCGCATTCGAACTGCTGTTAAATGCAACAATTGATTTGAGACAGAACTGTACCTTGACGCTTAGAAGGTATTTTAAAACTAGGGACATCCTCAAACATTCCCCACGTTAGGCTAAATGCAGGTAACATGACTTGCTGGGACCTATATATCGCACGCGAGAATATATGCAATGCATTGTGAGAGCAATTACCTTGCGTTTCTGTTATTATCAGATCCCAGACTGCATTGTCGTGTTCTTGTTCATCGATCTTCACAGTCAACTTAACATCGAAACCTACCAGTTGTTTGATTTCTTCAGTAATAAGAAACTCTTGTAGATTTCTCTGTAGAGTTCCGTCCTGGTATGCTTTCCAAAGTACCTCAAGAGCTGAAGTGGTTTGTGCTTGAACAGTGAAGCACAGCGACCCTTCACTTATTGCACGCAAGGTGTTGCCAAGGGGCAGAACTGCTTCGGTAAAAGTGTTAACAAATTCCTGGAGACTGGAACTTCTACGTAGGATCATCCAGGTAGTGACAACCACGATGCCACCAGCAACGTTACGAAACGTACAGTGTGGGGTGACGACTGTTAAAAATGGATAGAAGAATAACACTGTCAAGTCTCTGTTGGAGTGCAGTATCCGTTTTAAAATTTGGGAATTTTCATCATATCATAAAGTGATGAGTGGAGTTACATATCTTCACAAATGAACTAACGTGCAAGCGGGCTCGCTTGTGTAAGGTTTCGCGCTTCGACGTTCACGCAACGTTCGCGCGCGTATACATCGTGAGGCTGTTCGCAGACTTAATAGAATGCAAAACTTAAAGATAACACTTTGTATTCTAAATGCAAGTTCTGAACAGATGGGATTTCAAATATTCCGGAATTGGATGTAACCATCTGAATGAAGCAGAGATTTGAGTGACACCAACCTGAAACACAACGTTTCGACTATACTTTTTGCTGCAAGGGTCACGAGTGACTGATTACTGTGTTTGTCACATACGGGGCAAAATTACTGAATCCTGATTGGCTGAGACGGAGGGAATTTTTTCGCAATCACGAGGGCACTTTTGGCAATCAAGAGGGCATGATTACTTGATGCTGATTGGCTGAGCACGCCTGCATTAAGTTGGTTTCCCGCTTCAAACGGATCTTGAAAAGGAATTTCAGAAACGCATCGCTTCTGAGTTTGTTCTAAATGCGGTTGTTTCATCTTAACGTGAAAGAAAATTGACATGCAGCAAAGCGCAGTCTTTTAGTGGAAAAGCAAAACGACTTTTCCATCCAAAAATGTATTGATTCACAGCCTGAAAAAAGTTTGAGTAGGGACGGCTGGTGTCACGCGNTCTTTTAAAAAGGCACATTTCGTGCTGGCATATAAGACGTAATTTACGAGACCCGCATATACGCGCATTTAAGCACGCGTATATATGGGTCCTTGTAGGACGTGTATATTTGGGCATTTATTTCGCATATCCCCGCGCATGAATTTACGCAAATATGTGGCCCTTTAAAAATGCATATATACGCAATCTAAATGGTCGTATATATGAGCTTTTAAAAGCCCATACGTAACGTATGTAAACAAATATACGCGGCAGAAAAACCCGCGTATACCCTGTCGTAATTTTGAAACGAATGGCTAACCATAGCTAATTACTCGGCTAATCAAGATCAAATCCAAAAACAAAATTGTAATTTTAATGCGTGTCATAAAGGAATACCTAATCTTAACGCTGTTAAATTACTCACACTGACCTCGATACTTCGTCTTTCCTCCTGGTTTTTCCAACGTTTCCAACGTTTGACTGATGTTTTCCATTTCTCTCTTAACTTGCGGAATGTTATCCAGTATGTCTACAAATCAAATTTCATGAGCAAAGAGCACTTACACTTTGATAATCGAAATATACTTTCCTTTCGTTATCTCGCGGTATTTTCTAAACGTTATAGAAAACATTTTCTCCTTGTCTTTACCACGTTTTAAGTAGCATTCCACTTGTAAGCTAACCTAATTACTACTTTAGAACTAACGAACGAAAGAAGGGACAAAAAAGGATTTTTAGCCATAAAGTGAATTTACTTTGGCAATTTTAAAATTGAAATAAGAGAGGAATTCAACAACACTTTCTACGAAACTCTCAAATCATTGAACGAAGAACTAGATTGTGAGAATCTTTCAACCAAGTTAATCGGACTTTTAGAATGTGCAAAACACGGGTGGCAGGGGAGTGTTTTCTACATTTCTTGATCGGGAGTGTTCTCAAATGTCCTGAGTGTTTTGTCACAGTGCAATGCAAGGCTTAGGCTTCTTCATTTGCTATATATGATATAGAGGTAATGTGGCGAAAAACTATAAAACACGCTTTTTCTATGTTTTATACTTTGATAAAACATGGGTTTTTGACCAATCAGAGCGCGTGCAGGGTCCTATCTATAATATAACATAAATAAAATATGAAGAGGTGAACGAACACACCTTCATCTGCGGTTCCTCTTTCTCTTGACTCTATCAAAATGTCCCACTTTTTACTTATCTCCTTCATCAATTCATCTACCCGCTCGAGTATTTCTTGGATATCCCCTGAACAAAGATTTGAATTCGATTTAAAGACTTGGCTACTTTTTGTGGCTACTGTTGCTCGCCAACACTAGCCACTATATTATCATGTGCGTAAGTAAGTAGAGCGTCCAATTTTCGGATTGTGTTCGGAACTATTCGGTTGTCTGTAACTAGAAGCCGAACGGAGGTCGGTCCGATGTTCATAGTCACAAAATAGACAAACGTACATAATACCCATTTTCTTTCGGTTTTACACGAACGCTATAATCGGAAAACGTTCCCGGAATCGCTGATACACAGAAGGATGTAAGACGTCTATGATAGCCGATTGATTTGTCCAGCTTAGAATTGCGAAATGCTCCATGTACAGGATCGTACAGGATCTGGCAATTTATAAACCTTTTCGGGGTTACGAAATTTTCCCTTGGGAAACTATTAATTCCCTTCGTAGAATCAAAATATTGTCCTGCGAGACACAAACCAGAAAAAATCTAGCCTTTGAGAAACGTGAAGTCCCTTCGGAGAACAAAATGTGTCTTTTCAGACACAAAAGTGTTTCCTTTGGGAAACGAAAATCCCTTCAGGTGACTAGAAAGATCACTGGTAGTAATGAAACACAGAGCAATAGTACAACGTCCATGGTTGTTATGATGCTGTACATGCGAAGCAAAATAACCTGCTGGACACTGGCACGTGCTTAAAAGCTGACAAAGCTGTGTCTGTTGCTAATTGTAGAATGTGACAATAATATAACACATATTGTGATAGCAAGAGACACAGAACCATCCAGTGTGTCACTGAGAAGACTTTTGAACCCATTGAAACAGGCAGATTTACTAAAAGACAGTTTCTACAGCATGGTTTTGTGAAATACATTAAAACATATTTACAGTGTCATATAATTCATCAGAGAAACATGTTTTAGTGTCAAATCCCACTCCTGTAACAAGTAAGTAATATTGCCCCTCCTTAAGAGGAATATGCAGCACTGATTCTAATTCAGTGTTAAATCGGACGGTGTAAAACACAGAAAGTTGACTGCAGACTGCAGACCGGGGTAAAATGCAGACTGCAGACTGTACACTTTTAACTGAATCGTATTACCGTTTTCATCATTGATAACTAACCATAAACAGGCTAATCAGCGCGTCATCAATAGGCTAACATGATCGACAAATATAAAAAAAGTGTTGATGTTAATGACAGAACATGCCATAGACATGTAGTAAAGTATGAATTCCATGTGTTGTTGTTAATAACATTGCAATTTTCCACAAAAACAGCTCTCTTTGATTCAAATTAATATGAATGCAGATTGCTAGCACCAAGAATTGTATTTCAAACGCTAATGCAAGGCATTTTAAGATACAGGATGATATATTGTTAGTGTTCTTGCTGATGTTCTATTCTAATACTGCCAGTATGTTGCCATGGCTACCATGTAAGGCTAGTGCAATCAAGACATAGTTGCAATATAAGAGTTTTGTATTGTCATTTAATATCAATCCTTAGAAGGTGGTGCAGGCTGCAGCTGCTGATTAGTTGATTATAGCAATTTCAGTCCAGAAAAATAATGGGATTGGTTTTAATCCAGAATAATATATTATTTGATGCAACAAAGAAATTCACAACATCAAAATATTAACTATGTAGTATGGGATAATCAATTATGAGCAACAATAAATGCAAATAGCAAAAATGTCGAGTCATAAAAAAAATTCTAGGTGATGAAAATGAATAAAGTAAGCATGAAGGTGAAATGCTAGTGGGTGTTACCTTGTACTGGAGCATTTTAAAATGTTTAGCTAGCCAATGTATATTCTGGCAGTTGATGTCAACATAGTATCAATAATAGACTGTTGATTATATTTACAGATTAAAAACTCTGAAGAATTAGCATAATCCTGGAATATTCCTTGGTACGATGGGCATTGCAGTGATATAGGTATATGCAAATCAGAACTGCGGTGTTTAGACAAACGTCTTTTGCAAAACAAAGAAGTTGAAAATGAAAATTATAGGGAAATGAAGCATTGCTCTTCACCACGGGCAAGACTGACACTACTTCAAATCCCAACAATAATGTTCTTCTGTAGACTTGTATCAGCAATTTCATTGACTCTCACTTGAAAATTATGGTGGTAAAAAGGATAAAAAAGGGTTGTTCGATTATAAAAATCTTATTACTCAATTTTTGCTCAACAAAATACAACACTTGGAAATGTCCAGGGGATATTGTACACTACAACGTCCAATAACTTACTGAGTTAAATATATGACTCAAATGATATGCCTCAGCACTGCTTTTGTGAACAGTTTAAGCATGTTTTGCTACTGGTGCTCAATGGTTTATACATACAGTAATCAATCTCAGCAGCCAAATTTCTTGATATTATTTTCTAGCTTCCTGTAATGCCCAACCATCCAGTGATGGAGTTGAGTCGGTATTGATTACAGTGTTCAATAGTAAAATATACATTACATAAAATTACATTTCATTATCACTAGCATTCCTTTGATACTATATTCTTAATCAATTCTATTTTTATTTTCCCCAAGATCTTCACTGACAGGGAAACTGATGACCATCCAAATTTGTGGCTTAACATCCACAAAATTATTGACATGAGAGCACTATAGCACTGGAAGCTCCTACTTTGAATTCCAAGTGCAAACTTTGCTCACAAAAGCTGAAGTAATAGAAGAAAAGCATCCAAGCCTCAAAGAAATACAAGATAAGAGAATACATATATGTTATTTGCCGGTTGGGAGGTCTGTACAGTGATAAACTGTGACCAGGGTTTTTCACTGTAGGGACCTCCCAGCCGGCAAATAACATATATATATTGATAATGGCCAAGACAACATAGGTAGACACAGAGCATTCGAGGAGGTGTAAACAACTGGTTAGAATAATAATAACACCACATGTTGTTAATTAGTAACATGACAATTCCTTTTCACAGATGCCCTTTAAGATTTCTCAATTTCAATAAATGTGTGGCTTCCAGGCTATATCAGTAAAGGCTTTGATCCTATAAAAAGGTGACTGTGAAAGAATTAATGTTATATTAGGGGGGAAAGGCTGATGAAAATTGATTTTGACACTGTAGATGGAACGCTTAAGACAAAGTAAACTTACATATAGGAAAGAGTTCCATCATTAAAGGCATTAATATGTATAGTTTTAATTATTAGACATATCTCACCACATACAATGTATACAATTGTAACAGCAAACACAGTACTGTAAAGCAAGTGGATGTAATCACAATTAGTATTGAACCAAGACACCGAGAATCATCTGGTAAAGTTGTTGTTGACTCAGTCATACCAAATAGTATGAACTAATCATAAATCAACTTTATAATATAGTTGTCTGATGTGTAACACAAAGATCTAGATAGTTGATCATAATGTTGTGAAGTGTCATAAATGCAAGCTAACCAGTTTTAGTGTTAATACGCTCCTAGACACATCAGTAACAAAATATATTAGTCCTTACCAATGACTTGAACCCGATACTGTACACTTACACTATCTTTGATACAACTATGAACACATTTTTATAGAAGGTAGCAGCTAAATTCACTGATTATTTTTCAATCAAGAATATTTTTCAATCAAAACCTTTAGGTTTATAGTCAGTGACAAAGTCATCTTGTAAGCTGCATGACAGATATTTAGAATGTCATATAAAGGGACCACTGAGCATCATTTGACTTGGGGTTGTAGCAATCACATAGCGAGTGAGATA